GTGAGTAATTAATGACAGAATTTTCATTTTTGGGTGAACTAACCCTTTAAATTAATGTTTTTGATGTCAAGACCATGCCATAAATCACACTAATAAATAAAGCAGAAAAATAATATTAAATACTTCATGGGGCTAAAAATCATACATACAAGCTATTTATACAAAAACTAGGATTTTTTAAAAACATAAACACATTTATGCATAAATACACAATGCATAAATAATACCTTACATAGGTAGATGAATAAATAAATATTAAATACAGCAGCATCCTTGTGTTATTTTTTGCCATTTTGTTTTTTTGAATTCAAACTACACTTTTAAAATGATTTCCTGAGAAAATGTGTTAATGTCCCGTTTGTCTCAGTGTCAACAGATTCATCTGTCAGATATCCGAGAACCGTCTATTACCCTGCCATGAGGTCACCTGTTGAGCAGCCAGTCAAGTCGTACCGAAACTCTCAGTGAGGATGATGCAACGAAGACTTCCGGCTTCACCCATGCATTGTCAGGGAGGTAATGTTACACTTGCACAGTAAACCCTCCTTATTTTCTCGGCTCTGACAAAATAATAATACTGTAGCACTGTAGCAGCTACTTAGAATCAGTGAGGAGGCACCTCTCTAATTTTTAAGAAAAGAATTAGGGTGTAGTTACCGTCATAGCCATGCATGGCTGCCGTGCCAGCTAGAACGGCCTGTTACAGCTTGCCGACGGGCAGGGAAGGATGTTGTAGAGGAAGCTTGCAGGGGCTTGTGTTTATAATCAAGATACAGACAAATAGTGCCAATTAAAGTATCCAGACTGAAGTGCTTGTATCTTGTCCACCCATAATGGCAGGTTTTGTGTTTGTTCAGTATGTTGGAGCATTTTTGGCAGCAGTGACTGTGTTTTTCATTACCATGGCGATGGTCATTGGGCCGACTCCTCCAGGCACAGGAGTGATGAATCCAGCCTTCTTCTTCACAGCTGATTAGGGAGACAAAAACAAACCATGTCTTAAATAACACTAAGAGCTCTGCCCAAGCCAAGTATTTATTTTATACTTCCAAGTGAAAAGAAATCAAACTATAAATCGTGTTGCTAAGTGACTTCCAGCCAACCAACCAACACACAATGAGCCAAACAGAGCCCTAGAGGGATTGAGACACGATATCAGATACACTGACTGACGCACGTGCAGAATTATTATAACAGATCACTCAAAAATGAATGAAATTCTGTCATTCCAAACCCATATTATTTATCTTCCTTCTCAAGTCAGATTGAATTATAAATCATTATTCACTGAAAACCTTGTCCAATTTTTTTTCTTCATATCGGATCTTTTAAATGAATCAGATGACTCTCTTCACAAAACCAAACCAAATGATTAATTTAAGAACTGCATTGATTCAGTTTTCAAGTTAAACTCACTGACTTAAAAGCTCAGTGGAGGGACAAACTGTTGGTGAATAATGGCTTCACACAAAGCTGACTTCAGCAGACTTGTAAAACACCGCACACATTGTATGAACCACTTTTATTGATGATTTTAGTACTTTTATATGAATTTTTTGCATCCTTTTTGAAGCTTGAAGCTCATTACCTTGGAATGATTTCAGGGTGAGTAAATAATTTCCATTTTTGGATCAACCATATTGGTGTTGTTATTGTTTACTAAAACCTAAAACTATTAAAAATTAATATTTTTATTTAAAATAATGCTGAATTAAAATATAAATATGAGATGAAAAAAACCTACCTTAAAAAAAACATGGAAAAAAAAGAGAAATGCGGAAGTTGAACTACTAAGTTACTAAGTCAAAATAAATAAATAAAAATGACAAAAGAACACGACAAAATTACTAAAACAAAAATTAAATTGAAAACTGAAAATATTAAAATACAAGCTAATTAAAAATATTCATAAATAGTATTTGGTACTAAATTAGTATTAGTTTAATACTAAATTAGTATTAAAAAGTATTAAAATAATACTAAAGTAACACTAAACTAAAAGATTCTGAAACGAGTACCATAAGAACACTAAAGCAGTCGTGTGTCATTTACCTTCAAAATCCACATCTCCAACAAGACGAAGTTTTCCAGTGACGGGGTCCTGCATGCGGTTGATGCCGACATCAATAACTGCAGCTCCCTCTTTTACCATATCTGCCGTTATTAAGTGAGGTACACCTGTTGTTACAGATTAAAACCAACCGTTCACAAAGAAATCTTATTCAATTAATATTTATATACACTGTAGACCAGTGGTTCCCAAACATGTCCTGGAGTACCCCCAGCCCTGCACATTTTGTATGTCTCCCTCATCTATCACACCTGATTCAACTCATCAGCTCATTAATGGAGACTGCAAGACCTGAAGTGGGTGTGTCAGATATAGGGAGACATACAAAATGTGCAGTGCTGGGGGTACTTCATGGAGAGGTTTGAGAACCACTGCTCTAGACCATGCGTACGCACTTTTACTGGAGTGAGCGAAATAATGCAAACAGAATGATTTTAAAGTCTGTTTTACATTTGACATACATATTTAGATTAAATATGACACTCTCAATAATGCAGTTAAACACTGAAATTTCATGAAATTATTATCCAGAAATTACAACATTTGTATATGAATTTAAACAGAAATATTTGCAGTGGATGTGCTGCTTTCGAACAATTTTCCTGTGGTATGCGATTTAATGTTTTAATCACAGTGAGGATTGCTTGGCGCATGAAAATTCCGCTTTAAATTGTGTTCTAAATAGCAAAACTCATGTTCTGAGAAAATACTTTTGCGTGAATAATGATCATTGATGTGAACTTGATTCGTCTGATACTTTGGAACATATACGGTAACGACAGACATAAGGATGTGCTCGTTGATCAAACATTCTATTGGCTGGTTTGAACAGGTTTGATGACAAACCTCTGCAACCTCTGTTCACAGGTGTCGCGCACAGACAGTAGCCTAATGATAACCCCTTTCGTGCTCTTCCCAATACTGTGACAGACACCATATTTAAAAGATAGAATTTGAAAAAAAATCAAAACGACGGTGGGGGTCGGTGCCACGGTGGGCAAGTGATGTAACCGGTGTTGCGGCTTAACACCGGTATCACCGTCAACACCGTCTATCGCGGCAAGCCTATAAGATATGCACGTTTTATTTTCAAAATGTTTTTGTTATTGACACGGTGAGTCAGGCAGTTATTTACACTGCAAAAAATAAGACCTATCTCCATTCAAATATACATTCTAAAATATATGTTTACTTTACAGGCAGAATTGCATATAATTTGAATAACAATGTGATGTCTCAAAAAGCATAGTCTGTATCTCAGGCTACCCTTAACTGCGTTAAACATGGTGTCACGTGGATGGAATATGCATGGAAATGATATGCAGATGTCTGAATATGTGCAAATGCAAAGATACATGAGAGCTGCTGTGAAGGGGAACATTTCCAGTGACTGAATGATTGTGTATGTAAATAATTTTATTATAAACTGAATTTTCCTTTTCTGAGTTCCTATTCCCTGAATTTAGCTGGAAGTCTGAGCCAGCCCCCATATAACCTTTTACGAATTTATTAAACACATGACAGAAGATGTTAGAGTGGCACAGGGGAACCAATCCTGCAATTCGTGTAACAGTGTATGTGTAATTCAGCAGATTAATCACACTTACCTCCATTCGCACTCAATATCTTTACCGCTCAGTAAACCGTTCTCAATTTCCCAATGTGAGTTTACAGCTGGAGTGGACAAAGAGCTACATGAACTGTCTTGATTGAAGTCTTAAATGAGTTCTCTCTAATTGCCTCTTTCTGCGGTAGTTAGTTTTGCTCTCAGGCGGTCTTAAATGAAGCAGAGACCTAGTTCTTTTGATATGAGCCGCAATGTTTGCGCTGTCATCTGTTTTACACAGCACAGACTAATCTCATCAGAATCCTACATATGTTACCACCCCTCCTTAACCTTATTAAAGGCCTCTAGAGCTCAGCTCTCTGCAGGGTGACAGACAGCCACTGTTCATTAGGCAGATGTGGAACTGATCTGAAGACAGTTTGAGAATCTGAGGACTTTGCATTCATGGCAGTTTTGTTCAGGGATCCATTGTCAAATAACTCAAATGTAGTACTGAATGTCAATTCATTTTGAGCATGTGCTCTCAATATCATAGAAGCACAGTTTACTTGTGAACATCAACATAATGGGCCTCATTCTCTATCCATGCATACATATATTTTAGCATAAAAGTTGTCATATGGTTCATGCTTACGATTTTTTTCAGAATTTTTAATTATAAATTTGGTAACCTTTTTTCCTTAATTTACTCCTAATTTGCTGCTTATTAATAGTAAGTAAGGTATTTGTTGTAGTAGTAGTTAGGTACTGGCTATAATTTATTATGTAATTTATGTTTATGTATGTTAAGGGTAACACTTTATTTAGGGGGACCATCAAAATAAAGTGTTACCATGTTAAGTTATGATTTAAATATACAAAAATATTCAAGAAAAATGTCTTATGATCAGTGTTGACAACAGTTAAAACATCCAGTTCAGCAGTTGAAAACTGCTTTATATTTTTGTGGACTTTAAAATTTTTTTTTTTTTTTTTAGGATTCTTTGATGAATAAGTTCAAAAGAAAAGCATTTATTTGAAATAAAAATCTTCAACATTATAAATGCCTTTACAGTCACTTTTGATCAGTTTATTGCATCTTCACTTATTAAAAGTATTATTATTTTTTAATTAAAAATCATACAAAGCTTTTGAATGGTAGTGTAATGGCATTTCTGACAGATGATTTGACACTGAAGACTGCTATTTTCATTTTAAATTCTAATATATTACTGTTTTATTGCTGTTTTGCTGTACTATTGATCAAATAAATACATGCAGCCTTGGTGAGTACACACACATGGAATGGAAAGGCCATCAAACAGTAAAAGCGAGCAATATCTGTCAGGTAAACAGATATGTTTACATGCTCAGATTTAATGCAAAAATACTGGAATAAATTCAGTCTGACTGCAATGTTTATGTGTACCATATACTGTTCAATATTATATGTGCACATGTCTTCCAAGCAAAAGTTCTGTGCATGCAAAAAACATTAGCATAACAACAAGGAACTGTCAGCACTCCTGTCAGAGACATGGCTCTATAGTCTGTAATTGGCATGTTTTCCTTTCTGACACATGTAAAAATATGTCAAAACAGCTGTTGTTTCTTAATTTTCCATCCATCCGGTTTCTCAACAGACTTTTTATTTTATAAAATGTTAAGACGTAATCTCCTCCACTAATTATTTCTTCACAACCTCCATCATGTTTATAGTTGTGATGCAAATAAACACACACTGCACTGGAAATGCCAGACTGTAAAAATGGCCAATTATTCTATTTTTAATGCATTATTCTGATACAATTTCGATGCAAGTGTTCACTCCGAGTCAGATTACGCATACAGTTTCAGTGACGTGATCGCTGACCGGATTGTGTCGATTTCTTTTTAGTCAGTCACAAATTTTCACGCCTTCATAACACATTAGCTTCAGTCTGTTGGCTATGTTGTGTTTCTTTAATATGCTTCTCAAATGCCTGCCCATGTTATTCACCCTTTCCTTTTTGTATGATATATTACAAAGTACAAAGTTGGATTGTTTCAATACATCTCAATGATAACTGGCTGTCTGCCGTCAAGTGCGTTTTGTCACTCCACTAAACTGCAAGAGCTCTACAACAAACTAACCTTATATTTCTGTATTCAAATTTATTCTCGGTGCACTCACACGAGCAAATAAGCCTAACCTTCCAATCACATTGAAGCACAGCTCAAATGGAGAAAACATGCTTGAAACATAATAACGATGTCGACATTACATTAGGTTGCTACTTTGGTTTTCTGAGCATTTCCCCGAAGGCTTCTCGGAGAGAGTCAGGGTTATAAAAGGTGCTTTACTGGAGAGGCCTTCCAGCTTGGAGACTTTAAGTTGTGACTCAGAAGATTGTGTTTGCTGTAAAGTCCTCCTGACCAAAGCCTTCACCTTCTTTCCCAATCCAGCAAACTGTCTCCTGCATAGGGCTTCTACAGGTTCCATTCAGTTTGTGGCGTGGATAAGTAGTCTGCTGGGGTTTGACTGCCAGACCTTCAGCACTTAAGTCTGCTCGTACACATGTATGAATAAAACATTTGCTTATCAATTGTTCATCTGATGCACAGGGACGAGAGTGGCACTACGCAAGTGCCAGAATAATGGCCTGTCATCTCACTGAGCCAACCATAGCCAGGGATAATGACTGCTAATGCTAATGGAGGTCTAATTTCCAACGCTGCTCTTCAGGGTGGAAAACAAGGGCACTGCCTCCATAAATAAGTGTGCATGTGGCATGTTTTTGTTCGGAAAATTACTGTTTGTCATTGAGGGGATAATAGCTTGTCTGGGGTAGGGCAAACTGTTTTTGTGCTCCGTTAAACAGAACCAAAGTTGCACCGCAACCTAAGATTCTGCCTTGGTTGGCTGATTTTGGCTACTAGGCTTTGTTTAGCTGTTAACATGACGCTGTCAGTGAGTCACCATTCACAGTTCTCATTAATTTCAAATTAGCTGTATATGTACACTACTGTTCAAAAGTTTAGTTAATTTTTTAAAATATAATTTTTTATGTTTTTGAAAGAAGTCTTATGCTCACGAAGGCTGCATTTATTTGATCAAAAATAGAGTAAAAACAACAATATTGTGTAATAGTGTAACAATTTAAAACAGCTATTTTTATATTTTCTTATATTTTCAAATGTAACCTGAATTTTCAGCAAATCTTCAGAAATCATTCGAATATGCTGATTTGGTGCTCAAGAAACATTTCGTACTATTATCATTGTTGAAAACATTTGTGATGCTTAATATTTTGCGGAAACAGTGACACATTTTTGGGTTTATGTATTTATTTATTGATTCTTTGATTTGATTAATTTGAAATATTAAAGCCATTTATAACATTGCCAAATATATCTGTCACTTTCAAAGAATGTAAGTGATCTCTGAAGTAAAAAAAAAAACTTGAACATGTGTATATTGCTATTCTTTCAATATGTTACAGTAAGGAATCAATAAAAATGTCATTAATTTCAGTTTTCCATGACTTATCATGAACCAGGAATATTAAAATGTGAGATCATAAATATATTTAAACATTAGATCACCAAATGAATGTAGATTCAACATAAAAGAAGCATATTTTAAATAATATTAGA